TTTTTTCTAAATGAGAAGCACTTCTTTAACATAACAAACCTATCCTCTTTTTTTTTTTTTTAGTAGTTTATAATATATATATATCTATATATATATATATATATATATATATATATATATATATATATATATATATACCTATAATTTATATATATAATATGTATGTATATGTATAGTATATGCGATTACTCTCTTCTCTCCTTCTCTCTCTCTTCGGTCTCTCTCTCTCTAGGTTTCTTTATCTCTCACTCACTTTGTTTTATTTCTCCTACTCTCCCCTCCGTCTCTCTTCACTCCTCTCTCTCTCTCCTCCTCTCTCTCTCTCCTCTCTCTCTCTCATCTCTCTCTCTCTCTCTCTCCTCTCTCTCTTCTCTCCTCTCCTTTCTCTCTCCTCTCTCTCCTCTCTTCTTATCTATTCTCTTCTCTCTTTCTGTGTGTCTGTAAACCTACATGGCTATATGCATCATAAACATAAAGGAAAATAAAGATAAATCATCTGAGAAAGAAAAAGTCAAGTGAAACGTACACGTGCCGACCCCTCCCCCCCCCCCACCACCCATCAAGTACAAAAGCATTACAAATCACTTGCACTCCATCTCCCCCCCCCCCCCGCCGCCACCTACTAGAATTTCCTCCAAGCAAGCTCTAACAAGCGTTTTTTTTATTATTATTCTTTAAGTAGTAGAAAGGAGGAAAAGCAGGAGAGACAGCATGATGAGAGAGAGGGGGGGAGGGAGGGAGGGAGGGGGGGAGGGAGGGAGGATGGGGGGGAGGGAGGGAGGGAGGAGAGAGAGAGAAGAGAGAGAGGAGAGAGAGAGAGAAGAGAGAGAGAGAGAGAGAGAGAGAGAGAGAGAGAGAAGAGAAAGAGAAAGAGAGAGAGAGAGAGAGAGGGGGGGGGGGGGGGGGGGGGGAGGGAGGGAGGAGGGAGGGAAGAGAGAGAGAGAGAGAGAGAGAGAGTAGAGAGAGAGAGAGAGAGAGAGAGCAGAGAGAGGAGAGAGAGAGAAGGAGAGAGAGAGAGAGAAGAGAGAGACATACAGAGAGAGAGAGAGAGAGAGAGAGAGAAAAGAGAAAGAGACAGAGAAAAGGAAAGCGAATCATACACAAACAGGAACAAACAAAAAAGCGAATGAGTACATGATAACAGAAACAAACAACAAAGAAAAAAGACAGAAGAAATAAAAACAGAGACAAACAAAACAGACAGACAGACAAATAAAACACGAGCCAAATATACTCAAACAGAAACCAAACCCAACGATCAGACAGGAAAGAGATGAAAGGGCGAGAGAAAGACTAACACTCCCCCTTTCCCTAACACCGTCACCCTTAAACGAGGGTGTACCGCGCGCTTGGCAACAGCTGTCTGGCCCTCGACGCCAAGCAGGGAGTGCCACCTTCACGCAAGGGGCCAGATCGAGTACTGTTGGCTCTTTACTGGCACTGTCCTTTATTTTCTAGAATTGTACGTGTAAGGATTGGTCTTGAGATAGGTACTACACATCTAAGACATCTGGGTTTTTGTTTTGTTCTAGTTGTTGTTATTGTTGTTTGTTCTTTCTCTGTTTTTTGTTATGTTTCCCCCCTTTGTTTTGTCTCTTCTTATTTCTCTATTGTCTTTTTCTGTCTCCGTTTTTTTTTCTCATTCTTCTTATTCTCTCGTTCTCTATCTGTCTATTCAATTTATTCTCTCTCTATCTGTCTGTCTGTCGTCTGTCTGTCTGTCTGTCTGTCTGTTTGTCTCTCCTCTCTCTCTCTCTCTCTTCTCTCCTCTCCTTCTCTTTCTCCTCTCTCCTTCCTCTCTCTCTCTCTCTCTCTCTCTCTCTCTCCTTCTTCCTTCTCTCTCTCCCTCCTGTCTCCATTTCCGCAAACCACTCTCTCTCTCACTCATCTCATTTTCACTTCCTCTCTCTCTCTCCTTCACTCTGCTTCCTACTCCTCTCTCTCTCCGGCGCCTCTTCTCTCTCTCGTCCTCTCCGCCCTCTCCCATCCACTCGTCAAGCTTCACTCACTCTTCGCTCAGTCTCCTCCGCTCTCACTAGTTATCTACAGACTCTCTCATCCTTTACATCGAGTAATTATTTGTGAGAACCGTAGTTTTGGAGTTTTTAAGAAGCAGGAAGCCAAAGTAATGGTCGTTTGTGTTGATTGACGTCATTTCCATTGCTTTGAAACTGGTCAGAGGGAATTCTAACTGTTTTGTTATATGTATGATGATTATAATGGATTGTGCGGAAGAATGTAAATAATATATCTTCTCTCTCTCTCTCTCTCATATATATATATATATATAATATATATATATATATATATATATATATATATATATATATATATATATATATATATATATATATATATATATATATATATATATATATAATATATATATATATATATATATATATATACATATATATATATATATATATATATATATATATATATATATATATATATATATATATATATACAAAAGAAAAAAATGTATAAATAGAAATAATCTGACAAGAAAGGTTAGTTAATAAAAAAAAAAAATAATCCAACAAGAAAGTTTAGTAAATAACAAAGTAAAAAAAAAAATCTTAAACATATACAACTTTACACCAGCGCTACACTTTTACAACCCATAACATTTACCTCCGCTACACAACCCCCCCCCCCCCCCACACACACCACTAAACCACCTCGCCTCACACTCCTCCCCAAATCCAACCGCCCCCCCCCACACACACACACACACTAACACCACTCGCCTCACACTCCTCCCCAAATCCAACCGCCCCCCCCCCACACACACACACTAACACCACTCGCCTCACACTCCCTCCCCAAATCCAACCGCCCTCCCCCCCCCCACACACACACACAAACACCACTCGCCCCACACTCCTCCCCAAATCCAACCGCCCTCCCCCCCCACACACACACACTAACACCACTCGCCCCCACACTCCTCCCCAAATCCAACCGCCCCCCCCCCCCCCCCGCACACACACACTAACACCACTCGCCTCACACTCCTCCCCAAATCCAACACACACACACACTAACACCACTCGCCTCACACTCCTCCACCAAATCCAACCGCCCCGCCCCCCCCCCCACACACAAACACCACACGCCCCACACACCTTCCCAAATCCAACCGCCCCCCCCCCACACACACACAAACACCACTCGCCCCACACTCCTCCCCAAATCCAACCGCCCCCCACCCCCACACAGACACTAACACCACTCGCCCCACACTCCTCCCCAAATCCAACCGCCCCCCCCCCACACACACACACTAACACCACTCGCCTCACACTCCTCCCCAAATCCAAGCACTTAGGACAAAAATAGCCATCAGTACTAACCCTTTCACTATTTGGGCGGATGTTCCTGCTGTCAAGTTATGCCACTTGTCACACGCTGCAGCCGATATCCGGTCCTTCTGCTGTGATCCCGGTGGTTGGCGGTGGTTTTAAGGGGGATTTAATCTATCTGTTGGTTGAAGACCCTTTGTGTAAACCGGACAGATCCGTATACCGGTTATTGATTACGTATAGTGTGTGTGCGTGTGTGCGTGCGTGTGTGTGTGTGTGTGTGTGTGTGTGTGTGTGTGTGTGTGTGTGTGTGTGTGTGTGTGTGTGTGTGTGTGTGTGTGTGTGTGTGTGTGTGTGTGTGTGTGTGTGTGTGTGTGTGTGTGTGTGTGTGTGTGTTGTATAGACACACACGTACTCACACACACAGTGGTTGTCCGGTTGTCTTCCTGTGTGTTTGGTGGTGGTTGGTTGTTTAATTGCTTGGTTTGGTTAGCTAGTTTGGGCTCCATTTATTCACACACACACACACACACACACACACACACACACACACACAACACACACACACACACACACACACACACACACACACACATATATATATATATATATATATATATATATATATATATATATTATATATATATATATATATATATATATATATATATATACTGCGTGTGTGTGTGTGTGTGTGTGTGTGTGAGTCATGTTTCGAAGAGACGGAACCCAACAAGGCAACGAGATAACCAGACTGACAAACAAACCAGTCAACAGAAAACCAAGCAATTAAACATCCAGCCACCACCAAGCAAACAGACAGACAACGCAAGCAACCAAACAAGCACCAAGCAACAGACAAGACCAAGCAACAGACACCACCAAGCAACAGACGACAACCAAGCAACACAGAAAGACCAAGCAACACCAAGCACCAAGCAACAGAGCAACAGACAAGCACAAGCCAAAGACAAGCAGACCAAAGCAACAGACAAGCACCAAGCAACAGCAAGCAACAAGCACCAAGCACAACGGGCAGACAACCAAGCAACCCAAGCACCAAGCAACAGACAACCACCAAGCAAACAGCCAACACCAGGCGAACAAGAACAAGCACCCAACAGACAACCACCAACAAGACAACCAAGCCAACAGACAACCACCAAGCAACAGACAACCACCAAGCACAGAACAACCACCAAGCAACAAGCAGACAACCAAGCAAACAGACAACCACCAAATCAACAGCCAATCACCAAGCAACAGACAACCACCAAGCACAGCACAACCACCAAAGCACAAGCGGGCCAAGCAACAACACAAGCAACAAGACAAGCACCAAGCAACAGACAACCACCAAGCAACAGACAAACCACCAATCACAACAACAGACAGACAACCACAAGCAACACAGCCAACCACCAAGCAAACAGACAACCCAAGCCAAACAGACAACCACCAAGCAACAGAACAACCACCAAAGCAACAGACAACCACCAAGCAACAGACAACCACCAAAGCCACAGAGCAACAGACACCAAAGCAACAGACCCAGACAACCACCAAGCAACAGACAACCACCAAGGCAACAGACAAACCACCAAGCAACAGACTAACACCAAGCAACAGACAACCACCAAGCAACAGACAACCACCAAGCAACAGACAACACCAGCAACCACCAAGCAACAGACAACCACCAAGCACAGACAACCACCAAAGCAACAGACAAACCAACCAAGCAACAGACAACCACCAACAGCAACCAGACACAACCACCAAGCAACAGACAACCACCAACAGACAACAGCCAACAGACAACCACCAAGCAACAGACAACCACCAAGCAACAGACAACCACCAAGCAACAGACAAACACCAAGCAACAGACAACCACCAAGCAACAGACAACCACCAAGCAAACAGACAGACCACCAAGCAACAGACAACCAAGCAACAGACAACCACCAAGCAACAGACAACCACCAAGCAACAGACAACACAAGCAAACAACAACCACCAAGCAACAGACAACCACCAAGCAACAGACAACCACCAAGCAACAGACAAAACCAAGCAACAGACAACCACAAGCAACAGACAACAGCAAGCAACAGACAACCACCCAGCAACAGACAAACCACCAAGCAACCACCAAGACAACCAAAGCAACAGACAACCACCAAGCAACAGACAACCACCAAGCAACAGACAACCACCAAGCAACAGACAACCACCACAAGCAACAGACAACCACCAAGCAACAGACAAACACCAAGCAACCACAAACAACCAACCACCAAGCAACAGACAACCACAGAGCAACAGACAACCACCAGCAACAGACCACCAAGCAACAGCAACAAAGACAACAAGGACAACCACCAAGCAACAGAGCAACAGACAACCACCAAGCAACAGACAACCACCAAGCAACAGACAACCCACCACAGCAACCAGACAGACCACCAAAAGCAACACAGACAACCACCAAGCAACAGACAACCACCAAGCAACCAGACAACCACCAAGCAACAGACAAACCAAGCAACAGCAAGCAACAGACAACCACCAAGCAACAGACAACCAGCAAGCAACAGACAACACACGCAAGCAACAGACAACCACCAAGCAACAGACAACCACCAAGCAACAGACAACCAAAGACAACTTCACCAAGCACAGACAACCACCAAGCAACAGACAACCAACAACAGACAACCAAGCAACAGACAACCACCAAGCAACAGACAACCACCAAGCAACAGACAACCACCAAGCAACAGACAAGCAACCAAGCAACAGCCAACCACCAAGCAACAGACAACCACCAAGCACAGCACCAAGCAACAGACAACCAACCAAGCAAACAGACAACCACCAAGCAACAGACAAGACAAGACCACCAAGCAACAGACAACCACCACCACAGCAACACAACAACCACCAAGCAACAGACAACCACCAAGCAACAGACAACCACCAAGCAACAGCAACACAAGCAAACAGCAACAACCACCAAGCAACAGACAACGCACCAAGCAAACAGACAAACCACCAAGCAACAGCCAACCACAAGCAACAGACAAGCAACCAGCAACAGACAAGCAAAACAAGACACCACCAAGCAACACGCCAACCACAAGCAAGAACCAACAAGAGCAACAGACAACAAGCAACAGACAACCACCAAGCAACAGACAACCACCAAAGCAACAGAGCAACAGCAAGCAACCCAAAGCAACAACAAGCAACCAAGCAACCGAAAGGAACCCCAAGAAAGCGCAAAATAGAGACGCGCCCTCGATGTCTCCCGTGCGGGCGCCGAGCTCTCTCAAGTCCAATATTTTACAATTGCCTTAAATGACTCAATTTCCCTTCAAATTCCACTTGGGAAAAGTTAATGGAAAGCATTCAAGGGCTTCTTTTTTTTCTTTTTCTTTTTTTTCCCTCTTTCTTCTTCTTTTTTTTTTCTTCTTCTTCTTCTTCTGGAGATGGTCGAACTGTGATTTTTTTTATTACTTCGGTTCGTGATGACAGTGTCTTCGGTTTTTATCTTTTGGTCTTTCTTTCTTTCTCTCTTTCTTTGTATGTTCTCTCTCTCTCTCTCTCTCTCTCTCTCTCTCTCTCTCTCTCTCTCTCTCTCTCTCTCTCTCTCTCTCTCTCTCTCTCTCTCTCTCTCTCATAAGAAATAAATAAGTAGATAGACTGATATATTGAAGATTGGGTAGTTAAGCAGATACACACACACACACACACACACACACACACACACACACACACACACACACACACACACACACACACACACATACAATAATATATATATATATATATATATATATATATATATATATATATATATATATATGTATGTGTGTGTTGTGTGTGTGTGTGTGTGGTGTATGTGTATATGTATGGATGGATGATGGATGATGGATGTATATAAATATGTGAATGTATATATAGGTGTATGTATGTATGTAATACATATATATATAGATAAATTATACATATATATATAATATGTATATATATATATATATATATATATATATATATATATATATATATATATATATAATATATATACCATATACATAGATAGATAGATAGATACACACATATGCGTATGTGTTTGTATTTCTGTAAGTACACATCTCTATATATTCCCATGCAGGGTATCCCATAAGCTTCGCTGGATATTTAGATAGATAAAAAAAAAAAAAATACCTGAATCTCAAAAGGAAATTTAGGCACATTTGCGATTCCCTGAAACCTTTAGCCGTGACGTGGATTTTGAGAATTACATACGACAGGTACTTTGCGGGACGGCTGAAAGTAGGGCAAGAGGGGAGAGCGTGGTTGTCATTCGGGGAGATGAGAAATACTAATAATTGTAGGCTTTTTGATGGGATATTTGGCTGTTCAGAAGTGATTTTTTATTTATTTTTATATATTCTTATTATACCTACAATATTTTGAATGATATATATATAGATAAAAAAAAATTCAATTGTGGCTTTTTGATGGAGATTTGGCTGTTCAGAAGTGATTTTTTTTTATTTTTCTTATATCCTTATTATACTATAATTTTTGAGTATATATAGATACAATTTTTTTTTTCAATTGTGGCTTTTTGATGGGATATTTGGCTGTTCAGAAGTGATTTTTTAACTTTTCTTATATCCTTATTATACCTACAATATTTTCGAATGATGTATAATAGATACAGATTTTTTTTCAATTGTGGCTTTTTTGATTGGATATTGGCTGGTTCAGAAAGTGATTTTTTTATTTTATTTTTATATATTCTTATTATACCTACAATATTTTGGAATGATATATAATAGAAATACATTTTTTTTTTCCAATGTGGCTTTTTGATGGGATATTTGGCTGTTCAGAAGTGATTTTTTTATTTTGCTTATAACTCCTTATTATACCTACAATATTTTTGGAGTGGGATATATATAGAATTTTTTTTTTTTCAGTTGTGGCTCTTTGATGCGATATTTGGCTGTATCGGAAGTGGAGTTATTGTAACTTTTTCCTTATATCTCTGGATTAATACCTATAATTTTTTTCGAAATGATATATAAGATACAATTTTTTTTTATTGTGCTTTTTGATGGGATATTGGCTGTTCAGAAGGATTTTTTTAATTTATTTATTTTTATAATGTTTTTTTTTATTTCTTATATCCTTACTTAATACTACAATAATTTTCGAAAATGATATATATATAGATACAATTTTTTTTTTTCAATTGTGGCTTAATTGATCGATATTTGGCTGTTCAGAAGTGATTTTTTTTTATTTTTTTATATATTCTTATTATACCTACAATATTTTGAATGATATATATATAGATACATTTTTTTTTCAATTGTGGCCTTTTTGATGGGATATTGGCTGTTCAGAAGGGATTTTTTTTATTTTGCTTATATCCTTATTATACCTACAATATTTTTGAATGTATATATAGATACATTTTTTTTTTTTTATTGGCTTTTTGAATGGGATATTTGGCTGTTCAGAAGGTGATTTTTTTTTTCTTATATCCTTATTATACCTACAATTTTTTGAGTGATATATATAGATACTTTTTTTTCTACTAAGAATGGTATATTTTTTTCACGTCTGTAAATAACCCAATGTAAGTCAAATATCTAAATCTATTCTCAATACGCTTTTTTCTCATTCTGTTCCTATTTTTGCTGCTTATATATTACTCCATATCCACATCTACCAATCCACTTACCAATCTATCAATCTATAGACACATCAATCTACACATCATGATCAGGAAACCAACGTCTTTGAAATATATCTTCGTCTTTATCACATCATCTTGATAGAAAACAAAGGAACACGAGGAAAAAATGAATGAATGAAAAATGAAATGGAAAACGGATATTAAGCACAGAAAGTTCTTGCTCAGTCGTAGGCCAATATTCTGAAAGTTAGCTTGCACAAAAACTGTGTTTGTTGGTGAAGTTTTATATTGAAAGTAATGTAGTGTAAAAATTCCTTTCCGTCAGTGAAAAGTCGCATTTCCTTTCCTTTTCTTCTTTCTCTCTTTCTACAAGAAGTTTCCTAAGTTAAAAGTATGGTTCTGGATACTCACAATCTTTTCAATGCGCACAAATGCTCACATGCACACACATGCAACACACATGCACACGAAATACATGGATAAATAATAATATCTAGAGGAACAGATAGATAATAGATAAATAGCCAGAGGGAAACAGATAGATAATAGATAAATAGCTAGAGGAACAGATAGATAATAGATAAATAGCTAGAGGAACAGATAGATAATAGATAAATAGCCAGAGGAACATATAGATAATAGACAAATAGATTAAATATAGAAGGAACAGATAAATTAAAATAGCTAGAGGTAGATAATAGAGAGGAACATATAGATAATGAATAAATAGCCAGAGGAACAGACAGATAATAGATAAATAACTAGTGGAACAGATAGACGGATACATAGATACATTCATAGACAGACAGACAGACGAATGAACCGATAAACCGAAATTTAAATCCAATACCCGGCCTGTATCTTTCCCCCGCAGCGCCAAGGCCTCTCAAATCGGATAATAATTCCTTGCAATACAAACAGATAATTCTCATCATGCAATCGGGATCAATGCAGCTGAATCACGTGACGACGA